ACAATAGTTAATATGTCATTGCTGGAAGGTATTGCAACACAAAGTCTTCCAGTTGTAGGTGATCTTTAACTTGTTTTGAGTAGTATATTACAGTGTCCTATAACTAATCAATATGAAATATCTGCAAATTCAAATTATTTTTCGAATTAACATATATCCGTATTAATTAATAATGGGTCGATAGCTCTTCGGCAACCCATGCTGGCCGTAAAAAGGCGATGCTTGTCGTAAGAGGCGTCTAACGGGATCGGGTGGTCAGGTTCGCTGACGTGGTTGATGCATGTCATCGTAACCCAATTGCGTAGATAGATGCTCATGATGTTAACCACGGGATTTTTTGGTCCAGACTCCATTATATACAGACCGCCGTCATATAACTGGAATAATGCTGAGTGCGGCGTAAAACAACAAACAAACAATAATGGGTCGAGGTAATGTCCATATTTTTATAGGCGTGATATACAAAATGCGTTTCGTGAACACCGGGTGTCAGCACCAGGTGTCATCGCTAATTTTCAGTGATCCATTGATGTAAGTTCCACTGCTGCTTTGCCTTCTACGCCCAAATAGAATCTGTTTCGGCAGAACGTGACTGATTGTTCTCTGTCGTTGACGTATTATATTTACAGCACTTGTCCGGAAGAAGGGTGTTCAGACTAACCAGGTGTTACAGTACTCAGTTTGCAAACACGTGGCGTCTCTGGAACCACTGCAATGGCTAGAAGACAATTAATCCTTCGGCATTTTTCAGATGATAAAAATCGTCCTGTTTTTAGGGAAGACAAACACGAATACATGTTTGTAAATCCTCACGTAATAAACATTGGTGACGCTGACATCATTTCATATTTTTCCTGTAAAAGTGTCACGTGAGTTTGTATAAATCTTAGTTTTATGCCCGTTATAAGAAGTGGAAAATGAATTATCTGACTTGGTGTAGGCGTGTTGAGATGTCACAGCATCTTTAGGAGACTTCGTGAGATCATAAGTTTTCGAGGGTTCAGCTGTTGACATGAAATGCATGATATCTTTGTTCAGTTCGTGTGTTTAAGGGCTATCTTATATACATTCACAACAAAGCAACTCAACTCCTAACTCTATCTAGAGTCGATATGTAGATGTCTGAGATCACAGTTTAATATATTTAACGATTTCGAATGTTTCAAACTGTATATTATATTTTCCTTTTGAATATATACATGCCTAACAACATCTGATGGTATGGAAACTCAGTCTGGCTCAAATGTTAACGTGATTTAAGATCTGACCCTGTCATACGGCGTTTTGTCTAGGTCTTTAACCATTTCCAGATCATGTATGTAATTGGTTGCATGGCAACCGAAGGATAATCTTGGATTTGGTTTAATCATGATATACATATTTATCTCAACATACAATGGTTGTCATGTGTGCGATTTGCAAATAAACTGTCCTCATCAGCTTTAAACCTGTTAAACACCTAGTGTCATCACTATTTGGTAGTGATTCATAAACACATACTTATGATATAGTCGGAATCGTATAATGGACTCTGTTTTAGTGGAGACTTCTTATGATCATGGAATGTCACTTTTAATTCATGTTTTACTCTTAACTGTAGTTTTCATTTAACTGCCTGAAAGGAAATCCCCTCTGTTGAACTTTCTAAACCAGACAAAAGTGAAATTGAGAATTTGTTAGATCCGGAAATTGAAGTTAACTCGCCGAAACCAGTTTATGTTTTAGTGCGTAGGCCAGTGCATAGTTGCTTGTTTTAAACAAGTGCATCGCACTGGGAAAATATGTTGTTTTTTAATTCAATTTCAGAAAGCTGAAATAAAACTGAATTAAATGCAAATTGGGATGTCCGTTATGGATCACCGAACCATTAACTCAAATGTTTTTCCACTTTTCTTTGTAAAAATCGATAACATTATCTGTTAAGCACACAAGAAGTGAACACATTCAATAACAAAACCTCATAACAGGGATATTCTAGCTCAGATAGATCCATTGAGGGGATTGCATTTAAATTGTACATGACTTCCATTACGTTTTTCATTACCGAACGATTCCCATTTTAGATACATTGTTTTAACGATCCTATCAGTATGTGTTGGCCGATGAGGTTTTAATCGTTTGTCTGCAAGATATTTTAGGTCTAAGAAGTATCCGTTTAATTTTTATGGGTACACGTATTATTATCATCATTATATTTGACATTACCTTCATGACTCGAGCATGTTATATTTCATTTTCGCCCTTCCTCCAACCACAAACACAGAATAACCGAGAAGATAAAAGCTTATTCGTTTAAATGTGTTTACATTCACTGTTTGCATCAAGGGTCTTTTTTCTCTGCACTTTAACACTTGGATGATACTATCCTGACAACGTCTTGGGATAGTTGTCTCCGTCGTACGGCATTCTCAAAAATCCAATACTTTCCTCGTCTTCATCGCGATTTGTGGCCAAAAATAGCTATAAATTATTTTCATGCCGCCCAAAGTGGCACCAAAATAGCAATTTTTCAATTGTTGTATCGAAAAAGTCTTTCCCACTCACATTATGAGATGAACGATTTGTGTGTGGCTTCTTTGATATGCGTTTTGTTCTTGCTATTATCGGGCATGTTACATTCGTTGGCTCTGTCATATTGATAAATAGGAGATGGTGTTTATGGCTTAAAAGATGAACGAAATTTATACAAAATGATGCAATCTAGGACTACAAAAGAATTAAAAACAAACGAACGTTGCAATACAGAGTGTTATACATCAAGCTATTATTTATCGAACTCATTTGAGGAATATGCTGCATATATTTCAATTAATTTTACGAGTCATTGTATTGACACTGACGTAAAATGACCGCATCGAAGCTGAAGGGATATATACCCTTTTCTAATAAAAGAAACTTTAACTGTTAGATCATACTTATGCGTGCTTCAGTTTCACCCGTGAAGATCCGGGGTAGAATAGGTCTTCAGAATCCCATGCTTGCCGTAAAAGGCGACTGTGCTTGTCGTAAAAAGCGACTGACGGGATCGGGTGGTCAGGCTCGCTGACTTGGTTGATGTATGTCATCAATCCCAATTGCGTGGATCGATGCTTTTGATATCAATCACTGGATTGTCTGGTCCAGACTCGATTAATTACAGACCGCCGTCATATAGCTGGAATATTGCTGAGTGCGGCGTTACACAACAAACAAACAAAACAGCTTCAACGGTAATACATTGTTTTAAAAAATCGATGCCAGTTTGATTGGCCAAGGGTAAACCCTGGAGATATGAGACGTGCTTGTGAAATATATGGTAAGAATAACAAACGTTCAGGAACATTTTAACAACGCAAAACCCAACTCATTCACTCACTAACACACGTATAGTCGATTTAAATATATCTTACATTCCTACGTATTACTATAAACTTACACTGAGGTACTGTAGGTTTCATGTACTCTCACATCACAGTAATTTAATCGCGGCAAGGTGTGTTTCTCGTTTCTCTTACTGATTCAAAAACTTAAACTCCATGCCCAACTTATTCTTATGTCTAATTCTTTGAAGGGCATAATGTTATCGGAATCACACAATGGACTCCTCTTTGAGAAGAAATTTCTTATGAGTGTGAAAAATGGTTTGTTGGTTGGTTTGTTGTTTAACGCCGCACACAGCAATATTCAAGCTATATGACGGCGGTCTGTAAAAATTCGAGTCTGGACCAGACAATCTAGTGATGGACATCATGAGCATATATCCACGCAATTGGGATCGATGACATGCATCAACCAAGTCAGCGAGCTTGACCACCCGATCCCTCTTACGACAAGCACAGTCATCTTTTACAGCAAGCATGGGTTGCTTAAGACATATTCTACCCCGGATCTTCAAGGGTCATATGAAAAATGGATGTGGATAATTATTTATTTTTCAATCATAATCATAATCATTATAAGGAAAGGAAATCCTTTTTCCGTGGTTAATTTTATCGCCAAACAACTTCCATTTTCCACGGTGTTTTGTCAACTTGTGTAGTAAAAAAAGAGAAATAAATAAGCCCAATCGGATGATGTTTTGAGATGAATCTTCCTGTTCGAATTTATGTCAACATGCATGTACTTATGTTTAAAGAATGAAACCAAAGACGTATATACGTATGTACGTCCGTGATGAAACTAACGACACACAGAGGTCACACTATACACTGTTGTAAAATGGATTAACGCTTTAAACGAATATAAATTTTTCGTTTAATTGAATGTTAAAAGAAGTACTGAAAGCTCCGACCTTATTGTAAAGCTGACTTTTGGAATTTTCCAAATCTCAAACTCCTGTTGAATGCAAATTAACATTTCTATCTTAAAAGTTGTAAATAACGTCGATACCAATCTCAAACATTGGCGCGTTTTTGGCAAGCCATCTTGTATTACGTCACCGCACGTGCTACAAAGCACGTGATTGATTGGTCGGTTGTAAATCTCGTCTTGACTTGAGAGCCAGTTGGTCAATGTGGTTTGTTACGTCACAGCACGCGCTGGAAACCATGGTGATTGATTGGTCGGTGGTAAATCTTTCTCCGGATTTTGGCACTTAGTGGTCAAAGGGGAAACACAAGAGGGCGAAGACAAATGCCTCTAAAACGGAAAGGACCCACTCGAAACTCGGGGGCCTAAATTAGCTGGCTCAAGTGTCAGCGATAACATACCGATAAGAGTACTCAACCAATCAAAAGCCACGACTCAAAAACACAGCCCGCGTCACAAGCTCTGGTATTTGTTTCTTTTGACACAATCAGCGAACTGTGATGCAACAAAAGCCGGGGAAATTCAAATTGCGGATCTTATCTCAGTATCACAAAAGTTGGAATTCGTGATTCCGAACAAAGATTAAAAAGAAGTCTACACCTGTTCAACTGGTGTACAAAGTTGATGACACTGAAAGATCACGTGATAATGTCAACCAATCGCATAGTCCACCATGTGAGGTTGAGAAGTACCGGCAGTAGTGACAATAATTCTACATATCTGTCTCACTTTATTACATCGTTAAAGACAAAAACGAAATTGGATCTAAAAATGCAAGTTCGTGGGTTAAACTAGGTGCAAGCCAATTTTCAACTGACTGAAGCTGCAGACATTTCAGCACACCATGACATCAGTTAATGGGGAGACCGTGAACATATATTTGAACGCCAAATGGATTTTTGAATCCAGTAATGTCATTTCCCTCATTAAAGTAAAAACTTTGATTTTCCTAAACTGTTTTATTGTCACATCTGTAAGGAATTCGGGAAAATATTTTCTCAAACGAACCCATTTTTAAACGATCTCGTACAAATGTTGGAACGAGGGTTATCGTTTTCTACTCTAGCCGCTAAACGGCTGCAAACTATAGCTTAACGGACAATGGAAAGTTAAACATTTAAACGCAACGTCACGGGGACAATTTGTTCATGTACCTCGCAAATGATATGAACATATTGCCTTTGAAAAATACCAGACGTGATGAAAACAGATACATTTTTCTTTTTAAAAGTTGAAAGGAAAAACAATCAACCATCTCAATGTAGCTGTCAAATCTGACATTTTACACCTTTTCTCCATTTCCTTTTTTCTTCTCTCTATTTTCTTTACCCGACAATAAGCATTTGTTAAAATCGTTATCTTTGTATGGTCCAGTTTGCGTGGACACGCGTGAGCATTTGTCAAGAACGCGGAAAATTATTAAACCTTATGGGGGATCGAAAAACTCCCTCTTTCCGTCTGAACCTCCTCGGGAGTGGAATTGTTCATTGTTTGTGGAAAGTGTCAGTCTACTTTCTTCTCCCTATCACGGATCAGTTTCAGCATTGATATTCCAGCGTCTTGGATGTTTTTCTTGTTATAGCCAAAGATACGAACGAACCGTCTGGGCGCAGCATTTTCTGAAATGAATACAAATCTGTGTTAGCTGTATGTGGTAATGACAACCCTGCTGCTTGAAACAATCTTTTGTTGTGTGGATATTTCACTAACACAGTATGCCATAAAGAAATTATTAACGAATTTAGAGAATTTAATATTTCATCTACAGTTATCATCTCATTCAACACTCATTCTCTTCCTTTTCTTCAAGACAGCTGAAAAAATTGCTGATGCGAAATAAAAGATTCACTCATGCACATACTCTTCACAAGTGCATTTTTTTTACGTGTTACATTCGTATGTTCCGTCACAAATCAAATCTTCTTCCTACGTTATGACTATTCAAGAATCAATTATTTAAAACAGTATTACTGGAATGTTTCCATCCGTATATAGACAGAAATGTCCCACGTCAACGTGTCATCCCTTGCAAGTGTCATCACTGATTTTCAGTGATCCATACATATCATTCCCACCGTTGTTTTGTCTATTACGCGCACTGGAATCTGTTTCTGTGGATAATCGAGACTGGTTATTCTCTGGCATTGACCTTTTTTGGTTCCAAGACTTGTCAAAAATACAAATAATTAAACTGTGCATGACACATGTTGCTCACTGATATTTGTGTTTTAACACATTTGTAAGACACATGTCTTACGTAGACGGATTAGTACGTATTATAAGACAGATACTGTGACAACGACTATGTTTATAGTCGGTTTATGTCAACCCACGCGCAGATAAAACATATCTTATTGTTAATCTGTTGTTACTGTCGCTAATTATTGTTTAATTTCATGGATGAATGTAAATGTTTTTTTGTTTTTTTTATATTAATCATATTCCATTTCCCAATAGCTCCAAGTCAGAACAAGAATTAATTCATTTGCCGAATTACCATAACACAGTTCTCTGGATACCCGAAAACAAATGAAAGTAATTTTCAAGCTTAAAGCGTTCAAACAAAAAAAAATCCATTTCCATTTAGAAATTTTCACTATCATTACAACATAAAGTGTTTCATCTTGACACAAATAATCCTATAAATGAAACTATGAAAGCGTTTTAACCAACTGCACGTGATTTTATTAGAAATCAGCCCAATATTATCTCCAACTGATCGATTTAACAAAAAATAGCTTTTGTAAATCCCGAATGTTTAACACGGTGCTGAAATCGACACGATATGGCCATTATCTTCGGACATATTCACACATGAGTGATCTTACTCAAACAAAATTCAATATATCGCCTGTCAGAAGCCCCGAGCTCGCACAAACAGAAGAAGCCTGTTACTGAACGTCACGTGACTGCATGAAATCCACAACCAACGAGTATTTTTCCCCTCGTGTGTTTTATAGCGCTTCGACGTATCTAGGAGAAAACAACAATCCATCTTCCATTAAAAAGGTACCGTATTGTTGCTTTCTCTACATGAAAAACTCGTAACTAACTGTACTAGCAGGGTGATTGATATTAATTCTAATAGGGCCATTTATTCAGGTTTGCTGTCCTTGTTGTTTAATAGAAAGTCACGGGTTGTGGGTTTATGACTTGAAACACTGTTTTGATTACAGTTTCGTCAAGATAAGGGGTTTTTAGTAGATGATTATTGTGGTGTGAAGGTCTTTATAGTGCGTAACGAGAAATTAAGGGCTGTAAATATTCCTAAATGGCCGCGTGTCACCATGGCCAGTTATAAAGATAGTCAGTCTGCATTTCTTACCAGTTCCTTCACACAAGACGGAAAGTCAACAGGCATGGTGTTATGACTATATACATGGATATTATTGGAGAATTCGTGGATATATTGCACTGGATTGCGACTACGTATCATATTTCCCCATGTGTATTTGGTGTCGATGTCATGGAAGGTGTTGTATATTTCGTGTACATTTCACGCTGGGATGTTTTGACTGAAATGTACAAGCACGGCATGAGCATGTGAAGACATGCATGTTATTTTCGAGTTCGTTTTGTTCCGAGTGCAATTTTCTTTTACATGTCGTGTGAAATTTATTGAAACAGAACTTCTCGTCAACACTAAACAGAACATATCAGCTTTCAACATGACGTTCAACAAGCATAAATCGTTTATATGTGAAGCGTGCAAAGCTCATCTTTCGGCAAGAAAATCATTCCTAGGGATACAGAGTTACTGATTAACGTATGTCTGTACGTGGGTGTTCCGTGTTTGTATTTTCACGAGCCGTGAATATTTACTTCTTCTAAATATTCATTTTTCTTATATTTGTAATTTTCATGAATGAAATACACGTTTTAATTCATTTTAAAATGTGAAACTTCAATTGAACTTGTGTTTAAAGAAATTGACATCTTGTCAATATTATACCTGTGGAATATAAAAGTATTTATGCATACTGTGATCATATAATCCACAGAAAATACCTGATTTAATTCATCACTGTACATAAACACCTAACGTTTTCGTTGTAAAGGTTTAAATATAAAGAATCAATTTATATCATTTAAAATGTATGACTAATTTTAAAATAGCCCGTTATTTTGCGGACCACGTCGTTAGCCCATTTGATACTATTTGCGCAGAAACGTGTCTTGAAGCGTTTTATACATATGAAGTCCTTAAAATGTTTACATTCTATTATCATCTTATATTCATATTGCATTTTCAAAAGTTTGATTGCATTTATATGATCCCAAAAACCTGTTTCCTCGAATTTTAAAAATTCATTTATGATGCAAATTGAAATGGAGGTGATATTTTTTGCTGAAATTATTTATCACATTGTCTTTGTGAACAAAGAATCAAAATGATTCCCATAATCGATTTTCTGTATATTTATCATAAGCAGGTTTTCCTCGTAAATATAGGGATATGAAATACGTGGGTATTCACGTTCGACGAACGTCAAAGAACACTCCTTTCCACGTAGGAGGTATTAAACTAATATATATGTATTCATATCTAAAACAGGAGAGGTTTAAACTTGAAGTAGGGGTAAATTAAAAAAAACAAACATTTTAGTTGGCACTAGTTATGAAGTTTATATTTTATATATGTCATATGAGTCATGATGTACAAGTGCTTTCGAACGACTTCGACAAAACGACATTTTATTCTGCGAATATGTTTCGTTTGTAAACAGAACGATTATCAAAAACACATTTAAAACTCTGATGTTCCGGTTTCTTGCTGTGTCATAAATGTGTTCTGTACAGTAGTTAATGTTTAACGTCACTCGGGGGAAAACGAAATATTCGAATACATGACTGAAATGTGTTGCATCGGATAGAAAATTATTGAATTATTTTCTCGTTTAACAAACAGTTAACGGAATAAAGGAAATTCTCGACAACATTTGACACGAGCACGAATGATCAGTTTCATGCCATTTTCCTTCAAGAAGAAAACTTTAATCGGAAACTACCCATTCCCATTGCATATTACAGGTGGGATCGTGAATAGTATTGACATTTCGTGGACTATTAATATTAGCGAATTTAAAACATTTTATATCCCATATAACATGGACTTAACATCTCGAGATGTGTTTTGTTTAATTTTGCCTTTCATTCAAAGCACACAAGCATTAACTGATTTCAATATATGAGAAATATCAGGAATTCTACTTTTTTGTGGTATCATCAAAACACTATTGAACAAATTCTAAAGTTTGAAATTTAATATCTAATGTTTCAAAATTTGTGTACCTTAAACATTTTTACAATGAAGCATATATATGTTATTTTTTCGTTTACGGTGTTCATGGAACATTAAGTCTTGTCATGAAATTTGCCAAGCCTCCAAAACGATAGGCTCTTATGAGCCCCACAAATTGTGATGTAAAAACTTAACTAAACTAAATTTACTAGTGTTACTTATGTATAATAGTATAATTTATAATATTTTCAAATACCGAATCAGGGCACGTACATGGATATTAACACATCAAATCCTTTGCTGAACTTTAACTCTTTAAATCACCACTCGTGTGCATATTCATTTGGAAATAAAGCTTGATTAAACATGTAAATGGGTATTGTAAATGATGAAAGTAAAAAAGCTAAATAAAAATGCCTTGTGCTTGTAATAACATGTGAATTATCAGACATGTAACCGTTAGTCAGTGATGCCATCTATTTACCTCACTCAAACATTGTAATATAATATCCCAGGTTTATATTAATATATTACCTAAAATCACGATAAATAATGTTGCTTTTGTTAGTAGAAACTTACCATTAATCGATCAATTCAAACGCAGGTGTACTGTAAGTGTCGACCTTCGAATATAGGATGGGTTATACACATAAATCCGTGCTTCAAACCTTGTTTTTGATCTTGGCTCTGACTTTGGGCCTAACGTAATGCCAATTCTCAAAGCTGTCGACTTTGCTCTTTGATCACTGTTATCATGGTCGTAGGTAGGATGGGTTTGTTGTCTAAATCATGTTGATGAAACTTAGCAATGGCTTAGTGGTCTATAGATTTCGATATCAAAGATATCAACGACAAAAGCTCTTAATATTTCAAAAGACACAATTTTCACAGTTAACAGGATTTCGGATTGTAAACACGGTTATCCGTCGAATACTTGGCCCGAAATTACAAAAACACGTTTAGCTTTACAGCAATGCCCCATGTTGTGTCGAAAAAGCACATATGGTCTGAATCGGGCCGATTCGGCCCATTACCTCTAACTACACTGCCCGGTCGGGTCAGCGTTAGAACAGGTTGACATATAAAACAGTTCCATTTTTGTCCGATTCTGTGTCACTTGTTGAGATCTGTCGACAAACGGCCAACCCCGCTGGTCAATGAAAGGATCGACACGCTTCAGACCTATCTTTGAACACCCCCGTCGGGAGTGGGAATTTTCGTCTCTCGTGACAAGCTTTATGCAACATTTGGGAGTTCGTACTTCCCTGCGAGGCTCGCCATGGTGGGGACCCGTGTCTCGTGATTTGATGAATAATCGTGGCTTCGGACGGGGCATATATCACTTAGCCGGCCTTGGGCCTGAATACAAGCGTGACAAGTTATACCAGAGAGTCTCTATTGAAGACGAGTCAGCTTGTCACAGAGGCAATAATTTAAAGCACTCTGTTCTATGCTGGCCGCAACACAAGCGGGAAATAAAACCAGAAGCATTGTAGGGGAGTTGGACAGTTGAAATTTATGGCCATGTTCTGAGTAAAGACACAGTGGGCGAGATCTCGCAGGGGTGACTACCCCCGACCCCCAATTCATCCACCCGGGGGTGTAGTCTCTCCCCTAAAACACGTGGGTGGGATGGGTAAGATATGTAATGGATTATGAGGAGCTTTTTCCTAAGCACAGCGACCTGTGCGATAAATGGTCCATGCGTTTCAATAGCAGTCGTAAACATTAATGATTGCTTTATTTCCCTGGTTACACACGTGTGAAATAAATGCATACTTTGTTGCTATTTGATGTAGGAATATCACTTTGTTAATTCTTGTATAGAGGAACTATTATTTGATTATCAAAACGTACGAATTTAAGCATCTTAATGCGATTTCGCCGGATTTGCAGGTGTTATAAGCCGTATATATGTATAATTAACACCCCATCAAACACCAAGCAGTATAATATTTTATTCAAAGGAATATCGAATATATATAGTATTATATTTACGAACTTGATATTTTGCATCAAATCTATTACATGGTGTCCGTTTACAGTGCATATAAGATTATTTAATTCCTAAATATCAACGCCTTGGTTTTGTTGTAATCAATTTTACAGTTATGAAGACGATATAAGCTACTGCGTAACACTGTGAACTGAAAGATAAGCAGAATGCAAATATATGCTTTCTTTAGATTTAGTCAAGTAGTTTTATTTAAATCAAATCCACCAATGAGATTTGATACACATATCATTTGAAATATGAAGTGAAATTAGTTTTTTAAGGAATAAGATAAAATTCACCAAACACTTTCAATAAAAAGTAAGTTTTGATAACAGGGTGTTAATTCCCTTCACGATCCTATGTGTGTGGGCTTGGCTTTGGAAAGAGTACACGACGATAAAAGCGTTTGAGCATTGCTTTATCGACAATTTCGCAGCTATTTGCTATCTGTCATTTATTTACAATATCATGAATAATTTGTAAACAACATCATCTTGTTTAGTAGATGTGATAACGATACTTTGAATGTGTTTCAAATAAAACAAACAAATATTTGTCAACATAATAACGATGATATGTGTACATGTTGACATGTAAACCGATAAGATGCGGATACTGCTGCAGTGACCCTGGTGTTGTTGCAACTGGTGAGTGAGTGAGTGAGTTAAAATTTAACTTCGCATCAGCATTATTCCAGCCATATAGGGACGGTCCAAATGGTTTACATATTTCCGATAGAAAAGAAAACTCACCAAAAAATGCGCTACACATTGACGACAATAAACTGTAAAGTACTTACGCCAATTTAAAAGTCTCGGATGAATACCCTTTGACATAATTCGTTTATTATTATATTTGGTTATAACCGTGGTCATCGTGCACGAGCAGTAAAGTAAATATATTGGCTTATCATCCAGTCTCGACACAACATGATCCGGACCGGGCAACAAAGGTTTAGGATGAGAGTCTGGTACTTCAAATCGGCGACAATCGTCTTCTCAATACAATGGTGAAGAAAGTAATCAAGAACGAATTTGATTTTTCATTTTCTCGAATTTTTCCAAGCTCTCAAGAAAAGCTGGCGGGCTACTAAAGGTTCACGGCCGAGGTCCCAGAAGAGCGGAATAGTCATCCATCTTATGCCGGGGCGCGTCGTTCTGACAAAGTCTGATAAATGGGATATTTTCTTTGACTTCTTACGCCGACTCTCTGTCCCCTTAACCCCAACCCCCACCCTCCCCCCTGGGCACCTCCCCTCCAAGTACCTGTCTGGCCGGAATACTGTCGCCGCTAAACAAGTCTAAGACAATGTCAGCCGTTTAATTTTATTTCGCTTGATCACTGACAATTCCGACTTGAAAACAAACTCGAGGTGATTAGACCTTGCTGGTTTTGCGGTCCCCACAGACCTCTGTCCCCATCTGCTGTGTGAGAAGCCGGGGGGAGCTTGTTGTCGGGGTACCCACAGGGGATAACGTGGCTTATGCCTGAGCGACCCGGAAGTGGGGTTGAGAAGGGTGGTTTGACGTCATGATGGCCCAGTGAACCAGAATAAGAAAAGTGCGACCATAATTGTGCCAGTGGTTTTTAATTGAATATCAAAAGAAATATTCCGTCCTGCTTCCGTGTACACTCTGTGATCAATCACCTAAGATAGCAACAATCTTTTGGATCTGATTGCACCCATCTTACAAATAAATATAAAACGTCAACGCCAGAGAATAATTCATCTCGATTATCTATCAAAACAGAATCCAGTAGTGCGTAAAAGGCAAAATTGTGGTGAAAGCTATATGATGGATCACTAAAATTAAGGATGACACCAGGTATTCGCCAAAAGGATAGGCATACCCTGCCCTACCGGTACCGCCACTCACAATGTGCATAAAAAAAGTAAGTGTTTGTTCCTAACAAGTAATTACACCTGTCGGTTCACTTCTGTTAACGAGTACACACTGACGATTTATTAATCAGGTTTTTTTGTTTTTTTGGTTTACATTTAGTAATGCAATGAGTCTATGAAACTATTATTATTTTGTCGACATGCTGTATTACGCTCATCACAGATGACTCTTTCTCATGCATGATAAAGTAAGAATGTCACAGACATATTCACAAACAGAAAGAAGAGAATACTTACACATACGTTCAGTAAAACTGCTTGGTATTATAACTGCTTGGTATGTAACTGCCTTGTTGATTAACAGTTGTTTTTGAACATACGAATATTCATACCTTTACTTAAACACACGTTTCACTTTATGGCTTTGCAAGTTTTTCCAATAGTGTATATACAACAAGCGACATCGTATTTCATACGAAACTCCAATAAATAGAATCTACCCCTATTTTTTGTTTACATAATTTTTTAAAAGAGATCAGTTAGGGCGAACTACTTAGTCCTATTTCTTTTGTCACTTCCACATTTAAATAATTTCTTTTGCACATGTGCATTTCAACATGCAATGCCCAGGCTCTGCATTCTAATATTGATACCAATTTGCCAGCAAATAATCTACTAATTGTTTTTATTCAGTTTCGTTGGTTCGAAAATAATCTTATTCACAATCTACAAAGAAACAGTTGCAGCGTCTGTCACGTCGATGATGATATCGGAGTGGGTGCTGTCGCCGATGTTAATGATGATGATGCTTAGCAGGAGTACTCTCCATCATCGTGTTTCTCATTCATCTCATTTGGGAAGAAACGAAGGAATTAACGCACAAACACATGATGTAGGAAGGGGATATATAAAAACTAAGTGATGAATAAAGGAATAAACGAATGTGATAAAATAGACGGATGGTGAGTGATAGGGATAGAGATGTGCTGATAATCCGTGAAACAGCTGCTGAAACTTAAACACAATTGGACAACACGTCCCGGGTATCCGTGCATTCACTGGCACGTAATTGATTCTGATTATTGGGTACTCATGTTGAGTTGAAGCAACGGATACTTAATCGATTCTGACCACCCTTTACCAAATGTAGAGTTGAAGCAACTAACACTTGATAGATTCTGACCAACGGGTACCCATAATTGACAAGTAATCGAATCTGAATACCGGGTGCCCATTTAGAGCTGAATCAACTGATACTCAATTGATTCTTACCACCGGGTACCCATGTAGAGCTGAACAAACTCGCAGTTAATATATACTGACTACCGGGTACCTACGTAGAGCTGAATCAACTAAATCATAATCGAATCTGACTTCTGGGTATCCATAACTGACGTGTTATCAAATCTGACTACCGGGTACCCACGTAGAGCTGAATCAACTAAATCATAATCGAATCTGACTTCTTGGTATCCATAACTGACGCGTAATCAAATCTGACTACCGGGTACCCATGTAGAGCTGAATAAACTGACACTTAATCGAATCCTACCACCGGTTACCCATAACTGACACGTAATCGAATCTGACTAAAAGGATAAACATCGCAACCAGTATTCGAACATCGACCAAAAAAGCAAAAATGATGGATACTCACTCTACCGACTAAACAATTATTCCACAGCGTTAATCTTCAGAAAGGACAATTGTAGATGCACACTTGAAATATACACATCTGTAAAAACACATTCGTTTTATGCCTTTGAAATACTCAACAGTGGATTCTGTCTTGTCAAAATATTCAAGTGCTAAACTTCTTTTCCAAAGGACCCTTAGTTCTGTATACGTGAAACATTAAACTGTTTAGATGCACCAAAGAGGGTTTGATGGCAGAGAGGGCATCAAACCACTTCACGTGTACGGGAACCGCACTTACCAACCATGCTTCCAATAAATAAACTGATTCCTACACCCCCACACACAACAGACGCTCTCACTCGTTGTCAGGTATATCTTCCATACCGTTGTTAAGTTGATGTTACAAGATGCCCAAAAGCTGTGGTTTCATTGTTCCGTCGTAATGCTTATTTACTGAGACAGGTGTACGCTTTGGTTTGGTATTTATTTGTATGACATCTCACAAGTAAATCCAAACGTTAATAATATCACCAACAAAATATTCCACCATCTCTTACTTTAGTGGGATTCATCACATGCTTTAGGAACCGATTTGTTTTCAGTTTCGATTTAATCCTAGAAATATATTTTTTGTGAAAATATTATCATTCTCAGATTTTGGAGCCCCAAAAGTTGAATTGTCACAAAAAACAACCAAATGATCTGATTTCGCAATGATGCAAATTATCAAGTCTTTGAAAGGCATTTAGAAGTGATACACACATAAGGAAGAGAATGTATGGATGTCAACTTCTTTATTGTGAGGAACATAACGTTTCCGAGTATATGCCTACTCCTTCATCACCTGATGAAGAGTTAGTGAGTGAG